GTGTAGTGTATACAGTGTGTGTAGTGTTACAGTGTGTGTAGTGTATACAGTGTGTGTAGTGTGTACAGTGTGTGTAGTGTGTACAGTGTGTGTAGTGTATACAGTGTGTGTAGTGTGTACAGTGTGTGTAGTGTGTACAGTGTGTGTAGTGTATACAATGTGTGTAGTGCGTACAGTGTGTGTAGTGTGTACAGTGTGTGTAGTGTATACAGTGTGTGTAGTGTATACAGTGTGTGTAGTGTGTACAGTGTGTGTAGTGTATACAGTGTGTGTAGTGTGTACAGTGTGTGTAGTGTATACAGTGTGATGTAGTGTGTACAGTGTGTGTAGTGTATACAGTGTGTGTAGTGTGTACAGTGTGTGTAGTGTATACAGTGTGTGTAGTGTATACAGTGTGTGTAGTGTATACAGTGTGTGTAGTGTATACAATGTGTGTAGTGTGTACAGTGTGTGTAGTGTGTACAGTGTGTGTAGTGTGTACAGTGTGTGTAGTGTATTCAGTGTGTGTCTTGTGTACGGTGTGTGTAGTGTATACAGTGTGTGTAGTGTGTACAGTGTGTGTAGTGTGTACAGTGTGTGTAGTGTGTACAGTGTGTGTAGTGTATACAGTGTGTGTAGTGTATACAGTGTGTGTAGTGTGTACAGTGTGTGTAGTGTATACAGTGTGTGTAGTGTATTCAGTGTGTGTCTTGTGTACGGTGTGTGTAGTGTATACAGTGTGTGTAGTGTATACAGTGTGTGTGTAGTGTGTACAGTGTGTGTAGTGTATACAGTGTGTGTAGTGTATACAGTGTGTGTAGTGTGTACAGTGTGTGTCTTGTGTACAGTGTGTATAGTGTATACAGTGTGTGTAGTGTATACAGTGTGTGTAGTGTATACAGTGTGTGTAGTGTATACAGTGTGTGTAGTGTATACAGTGTGTTTTGTGTACAGTGTGTGTAGTGTATACAGTGTGTCTTGTGTACAGTGTGTGTAGTGTATACAGTGTGTGTAGTGTATACAGTGTGTGTAGTGTACTCAGTGTGCGTACTGTGTACAGTGTGTGTAGTGTATACAGTGTGTGTAGTGCGTACAGTATGTGTCTTGTATACAGTGTGTGTAGTGTGTACAGTGTGTGTAGTGTATACAGTGTGTGTAGTGTATACAGTGTGTGTAGTGCGTACAGTATGTGTCTTGTATACAGTGTGTGTAGTGTGTACAGTGTGTGTAGTGTATACAGTGTGTGTAGTGTATACAGTGTGTGTCGTGTATTCAGTGTGCTTAGTGTATACAATGTGTGTAGTGTGTACACTGTGTACAGTGTGTGTAGCGTGTACACTGTGTACAGTGTGTGGTGTGTACACTGTGTACAGTGTGTGTAGCGTGTACACTGTGTACAGTGTGTGTAGTGTGTACACTGTGTACAGTGTGTGTGGTGTGTACACTGTGTACAGTGTGTGTGGTGTGTACACTGTGTACAGTGTGTGTGGTGTGTACACTGTGTACAGTGTGTGTAGCGTGTACACTGTGTACAGTGTGTGTGGTGTGTACACTGTGTACAGTGTGTGTGGTGTGTACACTGTGTACAGTGTGTGTAGCGTGTACACTGTGTACAGTGTGTGTAGCGTGTACACTGTGTACAGTGTGTGTAGCGTGTACACTGTGTACAGTGTGTGTGGTGTGTACACTGTGTACAATGTGTGTATTGTGCACAGTGTGTGTAGCGTGTACACTGTGAACAGTGTGTGTTGTGTATACATTGTGTGTAGTGTGTACAGTGTGTGTAGTGTGCATTGTACATAGTGTGTACATTGTGTAGGGTGTACTGTACATAGTGTGTACATTGTGTAGGGTGTACTGTACATAGTGTGTACATTGTGTAGGGTGTACTGTACATAGTGTGTACATTGTGTAGGGTGTATTGTACATAGTGTGTAGTGTGTACAGTGCTTAATAAGTGATGAATACATAGCGTGTATATTGTAGGTGGTGTACACATGGATTATACACTGTGTTATAGTGTACATAGTGTGCAGTGTGACTATCTGGTGCACACTGTGTAAATTATATGTACGTGGTGTGCATATGTGCAAAGTGTACATAGTGCTCATAGATACAAAAATAATGACAAACATACAACATGAAAAATACAGAGTAAAGAAGATAATTACATAAGGAGAATGAGAGAGTGAGAGAAGTAGCGATGGGAGCGGAGAAGTGAGAGAGATGGTGAAGAAAGGGAGAGATAAGAGAGAAAATGGAGGAAGGGGAGTGGAGAGAAATGTTATGAAGGATGGGAGGGGTGAGAGAGGTAATGAAGGAGAGGGGAGAGAGAGGTAGCGAAGGAGAAGTGAGAGAAGTAGTTTAGGGGAGAGAAGAAAAAGGAAGTGAAGAAGGAGAGAGACTAATGAAGGAGTGAAGAAGGGAGAGAGACAGAGAAGGAGAAAGATGGAGAGATAGTGAAGGACTGGAGATACGACATATGTAGTAAAGGAGGGGTAGAGAAGAGAAATGAAATAGGTAATGAAGAAGGGGTGTGAGAGGGGTAGTGAAGGAAGGGTAGAGGTGATAAGGGTAGTGAAGAATGGGGGGGGGGGAAGATGAGAGATGTATGAATGGCTGAAAGAGATGAAAGAAGTGAAGGAAGAGAGATGAGAAGGAGAGTGAAGGAGAGGAGAGAGTTGTAACGAAGAAGGGTAGAAATGAGAGAAATAGTAAACGAGAAGAGGAGAAAGAGATATTAGTGAAGGAGGGGAGGAAAATTAAGTGAGGCAGTGAAGGAAGGGAGAGAAATGAGAGAAGTAGTGAAGGAAGGCGAAGAATGAGAGACCTCGTGAGTATATGACGCTCTATCAACAATCGTAATTATTATTATTTTTATTATTATTATTATTATTATTATTATTATTATTATTATTATTATTATTATTTATTATTATTATTATTATTATTATTATTATATGTAGGTAGATGAAAGGAAAGTATGAGTGGGTTAGGCGACAGGAAAGTATGAGTGGGTTAGGCGACAGGAAAGTATGAGTGGGTTAGGCGACAGGAAAGTATGAGTGGGTTAGGCGACAGGAAAGTATGAGTGGGTTAGGCGACAGGAAAGTATGAGTGGGTTAGGCGACAGGAAAGTATGAGTGGGTTAGGTGTAAGGAAAGTATGAGTGGGTTAGGCGACAGGAAAGTATGAGTGGGTTAGGTGCAAGGAAAGTATGAGTGGGTTAGGCGACAGGAAAGTATGAGTGGGTTAGGTGTAAGGAAAGTATGAGTGGGTTAGGCGACAGGAAAGTATGAGTGGGTTAGGTGCAAGGAAAGTATGAGTGGGTTAGGTGTAAGGAAAGTATGAGTGGGTTAGGTGTAAGGAAAGTATGAGTGGGTTAGGTGTAAGGAAAGTATGAGGGAGTATAGATGTAGCGGAGCTCTGGGAGGGAAAGAGCGATGGTGATTAAATCTGCAGGACAGACATGGCTGCGCCTCCCAACTCCAATATATATTAGGAGAGAGAGAGAGAGAGAGAGAGAGAGAGAGAGAGAGAGAGAGAGAGAGTTGTGTGTAGTTTATCTGAAGGTGCAGTCATGTCTGTGCTGCATCACATTTGAAGTTCACCATCTCTGAATGGAATGTTCTTCTCCACGGTGATGCAAATACCAAGTAAATGTCTTAACAAAACGTATCTTTAATCTCCTATATAAGCACATCTCTCACCGGCAGTATGGAACGAAGCCTTTGTTTAGCTGTCATTGTACAGAGGTCGCTACTTCTATATACAAGGCTTGGAGGTGCAAAAAGAATCCTAATTGAAATCTCCGCACGCAAGCCTATCGTTCAGTAGAGGAAGTCCAAAACCTGGATATTGGAGGCTGACACTAAAAGAAAATTAGCATCAGGAATCTTCTGGGCTACTGTCAGTAACACGGTGATCGTCGGTCAAAGACTAGAAAGAATATTCACTTCATGACGTCATTCTACCTCTCAATTGACTGGATGGAACTCTCCTACTAGCAATAAAGATAAACCTAACATACTTGCTGCACATTACACACAAATAACCCGCACATTTACAAAGTGACTTTGTAAATGGTCCCAGTCGGACCGAAACGTCGTCGTAAGCTTCTCTCTTTTATGTGCGGGTTATTTGTGTATCGTTCCAGTCACGGTATTGTGCCTTTTTGTTATTTATTGCTGCACATATCAGAAGTCCCTTCAGTCAGTGAACCTCCATTGCTAACCATAAGGACTGTGTCAAAGTTGTCGGATGTGAGAATAACACTGGACGAGTTTTATCTTCTCCTTAAATTCCATGACCAATACGAGGCTGTGGGCACAGATAAATTAAGCCAAAGATAGGTGAGAAATATTCTGACCATCTAGATTCGTCTTTCGCTCGCATCTATCAACTTGACTTAGCAAAGGGTAGACAGCCACATCTTCGTGGGAAATGGTGAACGTAATCCCTGGTCATATAAAGAAGTGTGGAGCAAAAATCAGTAACTACAGATCAGTGTCACTTCTGACAAATGACAGCATATTTTGACTATAACTCTCTTCTTTATCACCGTCAATATGAATTCTATTAAATTCTGTTAAAACTCCTCACTATGTGGGACTAGTTAACGGATAAATCCATTAACTGGTCACACATAGTGAATCCATTAATTGGTCCCAGCTGGTAGTGCAGGACATTGTTGCTGTTGCCTTAAATGTGGGCTTTTGGCAATTGCAAGCATTTGGAATCTCTTGCTCTGTGCTGCATCTCCTTAGTGATTACCGTAACGGAATATCTTTTAGAATAAACCTTATTTGAGCAATCTTCTGTATAAACCACTCCGTGCCAGTGTTCCATAAGGAAGTGTGCGTAATCCACTGTTATGGAATATCTACCTCAATGATCTATTTTGTCTCACCTCCGGATCTCTTGCCTATGCTGATGACTATACTCTATATTTACTACTAAAACAAAAGAGAAGCCTGCTGCTCTCAACTATATTAATAACTTATGGTAACTTCGGTAAAACGATGGCGTGTTACATTTACTTCGGAGATAACACAAAAAGTATTCTCCAGGCAGCATCATGTTTTGTTGTAGCTTTGGAAATAATAAAAGGAAGAGCGTTAGAGCCCAGGGATGAGATCGCTATCCTAGGAGAAAAATTTCACTCCAAAATGTCTTTGAAGAATCACGTGGTAAATCTTGCAAATAAAGCAGCTACTTATTTGGACTACGTGCTGCCAACAGTAACAGCCTAGCTGATCACGCCCTGATCCATAGGGAAACCTGGCCAAGGACTGGGCTGCGGGTGCGTTGCCCCCCCCCCAGAACAATTTCCAGGTAGACTCCATGTAGCAAGTCATAAATAATATTAATGGGCATCATATACCCATCTTGATAGTAGAGGCTATATAACTTACACAAGGCACAAGTGTACCCTTTTCATGTCTAAATTCTGGAGAGAATAAAGAACCGAGGAAGGCGAGCTATCTCTCATCTGGACTCATTTTCGATGAATCAGTCATTTCAGTAAAGTTTTCAGCATCTGAGAGAGATGGGTGCCCTTACTGCTGTGTACCAAACCAATGTTATCAAAATACCACACTTGGCTACACTTCACTGTAGGTGGAAAGATAGACAATAAAAAGTAACCATACTCTGGATATACCCTCCTCATTTTATCTGCAGTCATTCCTTTCTAGAATGACTTGAGTTGGAACATATTCGTACAGCATTAAAACATTAATGACGTAAAGTCATTTCTCCAAAGAATCTCTCTTGCCCATAGCTGGTTACCTCTAGTAGTAAGGAAGATTGAAATTCCAAGGTTTCGGCTTTTATTTATCAACCACAACTCTGTTGCATTGACATCTACCTTTTAGCTTTGTGTCTGTAAGGTAAGACACATATGCAACAGTTAGGTATCTTTATTTCGAAACGTTTCGCCTACACAGTAGGCTTCTTCAGTCGAGTACAGAAAAGTTGATAGAAGCAGAAGATACTTGAAGACGATGTAATCAGTCCATCACCCTTAAAGTTTTGAGGTGGTCAGTCCCTCAGTCTGGAGAAGAGCATTGTTCCATAGTATGAAACAATATGGAGATGAAGTGACAGGATGGAGCCTTATATAGCGCCAAGAGGTGAGACGTAGGTCACTAGAAGAGGTAAGAACTCAGAGGTTGAGAGGCCAGGTCCCTCTCAAATCCAGCCGCTCTCACTACGTCTCACCTCTTGGCGCTATATAAGGCTCCATCCTGTCACTTCTTCTCCATATTGTTTCATACTATGGAACAATGCTCTTCTCCAGACTGAGGGACTGACCACCTCAAAACTTTAAGGGTGATGGACTGATTACATCGTCTTCAAGTATCTTCTGCTTCTATCAACTTTTCTGTACTCGACTGAAGAAGCCTACTGTGTAGGCGAAACTTTTCGAAATAACGATACCTAACTGTTGCATGTGTGTCTTACCTTACAACCTGTCGGTATTTTATACCATTTTAATGTTCAGCTTTGTGTCTATTGCACTTCCAGTGTAGGAAGATATATATTCATTACCAGAAGAAATCAGATTCAGGTGTTTCTACAATGTAATATGAAAACTCTTCATATCTGAATATATTTATAGCTACATATAATATGGTCATGTTTTATTGGACTTTTTACGTAAATGAGTCTGTGAAATAAGACAGCATATCTTAATCTACCATTGTGTGTCAAGGGGGAGAGAGAGAGAGAGAGAGAGAGAGAGAGAGAGAATGAGAGAGGGAAAGAAAAATAGAATGTATGAGAAAGAGAGAGTGAGAGAATTAACAAATTAAAATTGTCTTTAGGACATAGTAGAGAGACTGCAGCAGGTCAGGAGATTAAGAGCATACCCATTGGATTAGGAAGTAGGCCAAAGATTAGAAACCAGCTTTTGGAACAAGAAAGTAGTCCAAAGAACTAGGAACTAACTCTTTATGAAACTGGAACAAGCCCAAGGGAAGAAGCTTAGAATTTTGGAACCAGCCCAGGGAACTGGGAACAGGCCCAGAAAATTAGGAATCAGCCCAGTAAACATGTCCAGGGTACTAGGACAGAGAATGAAAAATCAGTCATGTTATCATGATAATAAGAAATCAGTCATGTTATCATGATAAAAGGAAATCAGTCATGTTATCATGATAATAGGAAATCTGTCATGTTATCATGATAATAGGAAATCAGTCATGTTATCATGATAATAGGAAATCAGTCATGTTATCATGATAATAGGAAATCAGTCATGTTATCATGATAATAGGAAATCAGTTCAGTTATTATGTTACTAGGAAGCAGCTCAAGAAACTAGAAACCAGGCCATGTGAATACGAACTAGCCTAGGGGATAGGAACCGGCTTACTAGATAGGAACCAGCCTAGGAGATTGAAACCAGCCTAGGGGATTAGGGAGCAGCTCAGGAAATTGAGACTCGGCCCAAAAGTTTAGGAATAAGCCCAGATAAGGAATAAACTCTGAAAATTTGGGACAGGCCCCCCAAAAATTAAAATCAGTCCTAAAATTAGGTAACGAGAAGCCAGTACAAGGGACTAGGAACCAGCTCTGGGGACTAAAATCTAGTCCAAGGGGCTAGGAACCAGACCAGAAAACTAAAAACCTGACCAGGGGTCTAGGAACCAGTTCAAGGGACTAGAGACCAGCACAGTATACTAAAAAGTAGCTCAGAGGATTAAAAACCAGCCCAGTTGGACTTGGAACTAGCTTAGATGTCTAGAAATCAGTGCATCAAATTAGGAACCAGCCCAGCGCCTGGAAGCTAGCCCAGGGGACTAGTAAACAAGCCCAGGGAACTCAGGCTTTGGGTCTGAAGGCTATCTTCCAGAGTCTAACTTAATTATCCCTCTATAGGCTGGACCACTTACGGCTGAGAGAACGTCAGGGAGGAAATGAAGGGAGAGGGAGAGGAGAACGAGAGTGATGACGAGAGAGAGAGGTAGGAAGGAGTGAGAGGGAGAAGAGTAAATTGGAAGATTAGGGAGAAAGGGCCGAAATTATGGAAGAAAGGTCGGGGGGGAGGGCTAATGGAGTTATAGGAAAGAAGGGAATGAAGAGAGGGGAAACGAGAGTATGAAAAATAGGAAAGGAAGGGAGAAAAGATGCTGGGAGAATACAGAGAAAGAAAACAAGAAAAAATGAAAGAAAAGTGGAGAATGAAGGCAAATATGCCCTGGAACTTATTTTGTCTTCAGTAATAATTCCTAACTTGTTTTCTTCAGGACCTGAATGACTATTAATTACTGGGATATCATTTACCTTCTTGTTTGAAGACTGACAGGAAATAACTATTAATCAGAGAGCATATTTCCTGCTCACTATCAGTAAGCTGTCCAGACTAGTTGTCAGTGGTCCAATAAAATCCATTATCTCTATTCTATACACTTGAAAGAACCCTTTTGGATATGTCTTTGATCCACTAGCTACTTTAATTTCAAAGTCACATTTAGCGTTCTCGTCCCACTCTTTACGTCTTTTTTATATGAACATATTGGTCAGTAAGGTTATTCTCTCCCCAGATTATGCACCAATAAATTTCTCTCTTCTTTGACTCGACTCACGAAATCGTAATGACACGGTTGCAAACAAACCATATCACGGGTGGGGTTTGAACCCGCGGTCAGAGAGTCTGGAGTTTTGAGACTCTCTGACCACGGTTTCAAACCCCACCCGTGGTATGGTTTGTTACCTCTCTTCTTTCCTTAAAGATGCTCTAGAAATTGATTCATACTGACAGTTCTCTTCGTTATCTCAGTTCACATACGATATGGGTTTTCTAACCTTATTGTAATCTGCTAAACGAAAATCTGGAAAACTTGCTGAATTAATTTTTCTTATGTACTTTTTCAATACTAAATTAAATTGATTTCTGGTCAATCGTGTCAGTTTCTTCTTAAATCTCTAATGCAATTTTTTTTTAACCAGAACTATATCAAGCATGTAATTTATTCCCCTGTCATAAAGTATATTGAAAAACAGTTCTGATGTTAGATTCTCAGTCAAGGAATTCCAGTCATATTGATTAAAGATAAAAAAGATAAAAATCTAGAATCATTATGTTATTGTGCCTTGAAGCATCATTAATTTCCCTTCAGAGAAATCTCCTTTGGTTTCTATCCACAGATATAGAGACCAAAAAAAGACGGTATATAATACCTGAAAATAAATTTTCCCGTTCCTTAAAAATGCTACCTAGACAAACTGTGTGTGTTCCTTATGTCTTTTTACCCGTTTTATGGCGCAGTTCAAGTGACCTCGGACATTTAGTGCCACCTCACCTCTCTTCCCGTTATTTCTATCTTCGTGGTGCAACTTAGAACCTTGAATGTGACATTCGGCAGGAACGACCCGATTATTCAAATTAAACCATATCTCAGTTACTGCAAATATATCAGTGTTACCCGCATATGCTACTAAACTTGTCCATATTGTTGCTACAACTTCGACTTTTAGTATAATACATACTGAGAAATGCTCTATTCATTTTCTTTTCCTTGCTGATTCCGGCTCTTCCACTATCTCAGCTGCTTCCCTTAATACGTAATGTCACCGAATTTCCAATATTTACCTTGCTCTGCCTGCAAATGGTGTCCCCCAAACTTACAATATTGCAGTCCTGATAATTTGCACTGTGCAGTTGTGTTGTACCACATTTGATTCTTTTCCTATAAATATCCATACCTCCATTTCTAGTGTAAAACCCTAATATCTCACTCCATTCAACTGTCTAATGCATTCACCACAGTCCTAAATAAATGAATCCTATCGTTGTCATTATATATATATATATATAATATATAATATATATATATATATATATATATATATATAATATATATATATATATATATATATATATATATATATATATATATGTCGTGCCGAATAGGCAGAACTTGCGATCTTGGCTTAAATAGCAACGCTCATCTTGCCATATAGGACAAGTGAAAATTTCTGTATGCAATAATTTCGCCAAAATCATTCTGAAAATAACGAAAAAAATATATTTCACTGTGTTTGTTTAGTATTAAATTATTGTAAACAAATTAAAAATATATTTAGTTGGGTTAGGCTAAAATAAATTCTTCTTGTTATAATAAGGTTAGGTAAGTTTTCTAAGTTCCTTTGGTGCAAAATTATAAATTTTTGCATCAACATT